CCTTACTACTAGTAACAAGAAGCTACTAGGGGCTCCTGGCATCGCTACTAGGAATAAGAAGCTCCTAGAGGCCAGTCCTCATTTCGGGCATCTCGCCCTTCCTCATTCCTCATCTTTTTGAGCTCCTCCTCGTTCCGCCGACGTCCGCCATCAAGGCCCTTTGGCTCCATCTCGGAAGGCTTCTCCCATTGAGTGAGGCCGGTCTTGGCGTTGTAGTAGTACTTGGTGCCATCCTTGTCCTCACAAAATAAGCAACTGAAGACTTAAGAACCTTGTTTTCTTCGGAAAGAAACACCGTGCCACCTCTCTCATGTCACATTTTGTGATGTATCCTTGTGGTCAGAGAAGCTGAAACATCCTTCAAACACAGGGAAAACCTGGCTGTGGCTTTTCTCAAAGACTTCAGGTCTACGCTTTCATTGCCCAGCAACTAACAAACAAAACTTACACATTTCGTCTCTTGTCGGCCGCCTTTGTCCACCGCCGAGTCTCTGCAAACTCTTGCCACAAGGGAGGCATCTCGATTTGCCAGTAAGCTAGGGAGCTGTAGTCGTAGAGTCCAGGCATAAAGTCTGGCGCGCTACTGCTCAGCTGGCTACGGCTTTCCTTGTGTGAACAAACGAACAGTCCTCAACAAACGACAATCTTCAGCAACCACAGCAACCACAACAGCAACCACAGCAACCATACAATCAGCATTGCATTGAGTGTTTGTTTGGAGATTTCAGGTACTTGTTTTGAAATTTGCAACGGAAAAGAAAACTAAACCAACTAGCCAGCAACAACACTGGCAAACTCTGCACTTGGGGACAGAGATCAAGAAAGAAAAAATCTACTCAAAATGGTCTAAATTTTAGTCGACCAATGTCTTTACTTTCTCTGTACTCCCGGTACTCGTCCCGGTACTCGTCCCGGTACTCGTCTCGGTAGTCCCGGTATTCCTTCTCCTCGCCGCTCGAAGCTTTTCCTTTTCGTCCCGTCTCTTTCGGCACCCACTCTTCGCCTTTGCGCCAGTCTCGCCAGTCCCTTTCGCCCTTCTTCCCTCTCTTGCCTTCCTGGAGAAACACCAGTTGAGCACAGTCCGAGTCAGTCCGTTCCATCGCCCATCACCCCCCATTCCTGCCTTGGCACGGCCTTTATCTTCATCAGGCCACCATTTCCCATCACCCTTCCAGCCACCGGAGCGCCCGGAATCTCCTTTGTCGCGGTCTCGACCCTTCCGGCCTTTACCGTCCTCGCCGCCTTTGCCCATGATGGACAAAAGGACTACAGCTTCTTCCTGCTCGTTTGTGCAAACAAAAACACATCAAAAAAGTACGGCTCTACCAACGTCACTAACTCCTTCGACTGTTCCTGACTTATCTACTGTTTTCCTCGGTGTGAACCCTCTTGAGCCATCGACACATGTCTGACTTGTATGGATTGGAATCAAGTTTCCAACCACATGAACCAAAGGAGTGCACAAACCCCATCCATGACTTCCAGGGTGCCCTAGCATCATGTTCCCCGACTTTCTTTCAGATTTTGAAGAACTCAAACAGGTAGCAATGATGGCTGAGAAATGATACAACATTCTTCCACTCAAGGTGCCGAGGTCATTTTGTTTCATGATTTGTCAGCTTTCACACACGTCGTCAGCAGGTGACTTGGGACACACTCGCTTGATCAGAAAGAAGGACTCCAAAGATTTCATCCCACCACAAGTCCTGAACCGTCGGCATTTCTCCAAATCAATGTTGGCCATTGACCATCAGAATTTCTTCAGTTTTGATGAACAAAAGGACCCGAACCAAGTCCAATCCTCTACATGAATGGTAACAACCAAATTGGGACTTTTGATTTGTTAACCACCTGCACAAGCGGCCTCTTTTCAGCACTATTGTGCTACCTCGGTTGCTCCTAAAGCAAAGAAAAACATCGAGACGTCTAACGTTTAGAGTCTAACGGTCCAGGTGCATTATTCCTTCCTTTCTTCCTTCCCCTTCATCCCTTTCTCTTTTTCTCTTCTTTTCCATTTCCCCTTCTTTTCCTCCTTTTCCTTTTCCCTCCTGGAAGAAACAAGAAAAAACAACTACTAGCTGGTAACAAGAAGCTACTAGTAACGAAGGGCATCGCTACTAGGAGCAAGGACGCCACTAGGGGCTCCTGGCATCGCTACTAGCAAGAAACTACTAGGAACAAAGACGGAGTTGCTCTGAAAAAGCTTCACGCATCGGGTCGACCCCGGGTCGCCCAGCTTTGGCGCCAACGTCCATCATCTCCAGGGCAAACGATGCCAGGCTTTCGACCTTTAGGCGCCAACATCCAATCAATTCAATATTGACGAACTAGTAGTAAGGCCAAGAACCTAGTAGCGTCCCTGCTCCGAGTAGCGATGCCCTTTGTTCCTAGTAGCTTCTTGCTCCTAGTAGTAAGGCCAAGAGCCTAGTAGCG